GGACCCGCCCCGCGAGCCGAGGACCCGCCCCGCGAGCCGAGGACCCGCCCCGCGGGGAAGACTCCCCACAGCTCCCAGCCCCGGAAGTTACACGTTGCCCGCGCCGTTACGTAACATCCGGACAGGGCTGACTTCCGGGGCAGATGCGGAAGTGCAAGGAGGCCCCGGGAGCCGGGTTCGCTTGCCAGACTTCGGGCCCTGCTGTGCGCCTCGGGAACGTTCTGGAGAGGTTGATTCGTAGAGGCCGCTTCTGTCAGCCCAGACCAGACGAAGCCGGCGCGGGGGGCCTCTCCCCGGCCTAGGAGCCGATGCCTGCCGCGCCCTGGAGCCCCCGTAGCGGGGCCGGACCATGAGCCTGCTGGGCGGCCTGGCCTCCTCGCCGCGGACCGCGCTGCAGTCCAGCAAGGCCAGGATGAAAAAGCTCCCGAAGAAGAGCCAGAACGAGAAGTACCGGCTCAAATACCTGCGGCTGCGCAAAGCGGCCAAAGCCACGGTGTTTGTGAGTGTGACCGTCGCTCAGCCCCTCTCCGCCTCGAGATTCTCCTAACTCTCGAAATCTTTCCCCAAACTGCTCCCCTTCCTAGAGTGGCAGTATTAATACAGTGTTAGCTTTTGCAGTATAGATTACTTCTTGTTTGCCTTGTGCCTTGGACGGATCACGTAATTTATCTGCAGCTGAAAGCTAATAGCTAACCTTGTAGAGTTAATGAAGATTAAATGAGGAAAGTAAAGTGCTCGGTACCTAGGAGATGGCCAGTAAGTTTTAGTCATTATCGTTATTACCACAAAATTCTTGGAAATGTGTTTGATTTTCTAGAGATGCCTGAGAATGAGGCACTGTTTTTTTTAAGTGGCAACACTGAAGCCCAGGGAGATGATTTGCCCAAGGAGATAACTTGACTGACCCCAACTCAAAACACCTTGATTCTAGTTTATTACTTCCGCTACACAGCTGTTTCCCAAGCACCCCACGGTCCCCATAACTGACCCCTTCCCTGAACAAGGCACATGAAGCTTTCAGTAATCTCCCCGCTCCCCTCACCGCTTCTGACCTCTTTTGAGTCTTGCGAATGCTTCTGCCCATCTTTTATTGTAGGGGCACTGGGTTTATCGAATAATGAAATGGTTTGCCAGCCCAACTTAAGTATTAAAATACTCAGTCTTGCACAAGCTCACCTCTCCGCGTGGAAATAGCAAGTGAAGTCCTCAAACATTTTCCCGCATCTGAATCACCACCTTGCCTCTTCTTTCTGCCAAAAACTTGAACAACCCTTAGCATTTTTGGAAGCATAAGGAAAGGCGTGGGAATCAGGTCATTCCGAAAATATTCACTTAGCACTTGCCATGTGCACTGGAGACAAATAAGAAAAGTAGAATTAAGAGGATTTGGTATCTAACTGATGTTACCTTTCTTTTATCCCCTAAATGTCAAAGGTACCTAGAGCTTGGCAGCTATGTTACTAGATGGATGTTGGTTCTGTTGTTACATTAAGTGCATGAAGAAGGTTTTGTGAAGAAAAGGGATAATTGTTTTGAACATTGAGAGTTTGAGGTCCCAACTATGGAACATCAAGATGGAGCAGTCGCCTGAGGACTGATGCTTGGGAAATAGATTGAGTCATCAGTATTAGAAAGATGATACTCGAATACACTTAAGTAGATTATGAAATTAAAGAATTTTATGGAGTAGACTTGATTTTGTTCCATCCAGTTCTTCTCTTTAATGTTTAACACTGCATGGGATGCTTTGGGTTAGCTTGGTTTTGTAAGCTCCGTAAGACACTTGGGAATGGACATTCCCCATACTTACAAGGATTGAGTTTAAGCATCTATGGATTTGAGCAGTATGCCCTTTTCTCTGCCAAAGGCGACCCAAATTAAGATGACGTACGTCTTGGTTTGCCTAGGACAGCCCTAGTTTGCCATATTGTTCTGACGTAATCATTAACAGCCCCCTCTTTTCAATCAAAGGTGCCCCATTTTCCATAGATTAACTGCTCGGCCCCTGGTAGAACTTGGCCCTATCTTTACCTGTAGGTTAGTTTACAGTTTGCCGGGGAGACTGGCTCTTCCTTCTCACCCAGCAACACAGATTACTCTGGTTTGGAATGTATCTCCTCTTCCAGGCATAATACTTTGATCTTTTATTCATTTTATGTAATTATATTCAAAATTTTTCTTAAAGGAAAATGCTGCTATTTGTGATGAAATTGCTCGTCTTGAGGAAAAATTTCTTAAAGCAAAAGAAGAAAGACGGTGAGCTGGGTTCATTTTGTGTTCAGAATCACGTTTTTGGTAATTGATGTGGTGTTACTGCTCTGGGGACTTTTCCTCCAGTGGGCTTTTTGTGCTTTGCACAGCCCACTGGCCACTGATCTAGTACAGAGAAACTCACAACTGTGGTCCTGGTTCCCATTTCCCTAAGTCGTGTTAGACCGTGGTGATGCACAGCTCCATTCATCTTTCTGACAAAACCCTCTTGCCACATGTAGTAAGTAATCTTGTTATAACTCTGCAGTCAGAAACGCCAAGGGATAAATGAAACTGCATTTCTTTTTTTTTTTTTTGAAACTGCATTTGTATTCTACAAATAATTTATTCAGTACGCACTGCTCTGTGAGTGTGTCTACGTGTGCAGTCGTGGTAGGTGCCCTTCAGAAGCCTAACACCTTCCGACATCCAGGTGCAGCAGAGATACATTACAGTCCTTTATCCTTGGCTTCTTGGGATATTACCCTCTGGAGCTTCATTTTTCCCAGGGTCCAGTAAGAACCTTATTTTTGTATATAGTTCTGGCTTTTCCCAGGACTGGACTAAAACGTGGAATTGAGAGAAAGCGGAAGCTCATACCTCTGCTCCCTCTCCTTCCCGGCTCAGGTACTTGCTGAAGAAGCTCCTGCAGCTCCAGGCTCTCACGGAAGGGGAGCTACCAGCTGCCGCGCCTCCCCACAGCTCCAGTTTGCCCCTGCCTTACGGTGTGGCCAGCTCTGTGGGAACTATACAGGGAGCTGGGCCCGTTTCTGGGCCTAGCACTGGGGCTGAGGAATCATTTGGGAAGAAATCCAAGAAGGAGAAAAAAGAAAAAGGCAAAGAGAACAACAAACTGGAAGGTACCTTGGGGAGAGGATATCAGATGCCCCAGCAGCTCAGTGACTGATAGCAGAGACCTGGTACTAACTGGTAGATACTCGACCTGGCGATGACTTACACTCTCACCTGGTCCTGAAGCAGCCCTGGTAGCCCCTGGAAACCAAGTGTGTTAAAGCCCCTCTGGGTGGAGGAATTCCATTTAGACCTGGTCAGATGTGATGGGAGCAGGCTGAGGGCTCCCCCTTTTCCCACACCCCAGTTCTCTGGGTGCCTTCTGTGGAGTCTTTCCTAGAGGCAGGGAAATGGGCAAGGTGGCCTTTTGAGCACACAGGTGGCTTGGGAAATTTCTGATCTTATAAATGAAGTAAGAGGCCTTATAAAGAATAAGGCTTTGAGGTTCTAAGCACCAATATTAAAATTGATTACTGCCAAGTGGGCGGTTTAGAAAGCTGACTCAGGGCTTTGGGGAAAGTCCCATGTGCCCATTCATTGAGTATACAGAACCGGGATTGGCTCACTGCTCTTAGCATCATGTAAACTTTTTCCTTCCCCTCAGCATTGGGAGGGGCCTAAAGTGGGTGACCCCAGATTTGCGTTTCAGTTGTGAAGAAAACATGCAAGAAAAAGAAAATGGAGGGAGGTGCTCGCAAGCTGGTTCAGCCCATTGCCCTGGATCCCTCAGGACGGCCTGTGTTCCCCATCGGACTGGGGGGTCTAACAGTATATAGCCTGGGGGAGGTGAGTGAGACCAGCGATAAAGAGAGAGGAGAATGAGAGAGAGGGGAAGAGGGTTGAGCCTCCCCTCCCTGGTCCCATCAGCAGCAGCCCCTTGCTGATCCAGACCAACCCCAGAAATCTCCAGTCCCTGGGAAACCAGGTCAGTCTTGTCTGTGGTACTGCCTGCACTCTTTCTCTGATTTGAGTCGCTCTTTGCAGCCCCATGGTGGTTCTAAAGGCTGCCACAGCACCCTGGACTTCTAACTTCTCCAGTGGCCTCAGTGGCTGGTTGGGGGAATCTTTTTTTATAGATCATCACCGACCGACCTGGCTTCCATGACGAGAGCGCCATCTACCCTGTGGGCTACTGCAGTACTCGGACCTACGCCAGCATGAAGTGTCCAGACCAGGAGTGTCTGTACACCTGTCAGATCAAGGACGGTGGCTCGCAGCCTCAGGTGCCCGCACTAGGAACACTGCTGGTTTCTTTCTTTTTTTTTTTTTTGCCAACCTTCTCTGTGACAGGCACTTAATATTTCTCACCTATTCAGACACTTTACAGGGTAGAGACTGTAATCACCATGTGGGTAACCCCAGGGTGCAGCAAGGGATTGGCCCCGAGTCACCCCTCTGCTAGCAAGGGATGTGACTTGAGCTGGGATGTGACAACGCAGTTCTGTGATTCTCCTCCTGACACCTTCTCCCGCCTCTACTGTGACCGTATGGCGACCACGTGAGGCTTGATCAAGCTGCTTGTTCCTAAAGTGCAGGCCCACGTGCAGGGAAGATTAGTGCGACACTCGGTGGTTCAGGTAGGTCCAGAACAGAGGTAGCAAAGGAACTGCATGGTCGTTCCTGACTGCACGTCCTCTCAAGGACCCGGGAGACCTGAATCTAGTGTCTGAATACATTTGTTCATCCTTCTCAGTGCTAGATTCAAGGCAATTCCTTTTCTCAAGCCATCACCTCTGATCATTGGGGAAAAATAGACCATTTCCACTTTCTGATGATGTTACAGATCACTCAAAAATGGGGTGGAAACAGAGAAGCAAGGGAAAGACCCTCTGAGCAGAAGCTGAGAGCCTGCCCGACACACGTGGATAATGTCACATGGCTCCCATCTTGGTTAGAACGCTGTGGGACGCACCTGAGTGTTTGGATGTTGTTGGCCAGACAGCGTTCCTCTTTAGAAAGTGCTCTAACACAGAGACTCCATATTGTAGCAATACACCCGACCTATAACAAATCTATCAACTCAAGGCAAATGTAATCAAAATCCTAATAGAGTGTAAATGCAAATTGACAAGCTGATCCTTAATTTCCTCTGAAAGACAAACTGCCAAAATATTTTTGAAAAAGAAGAGCCTGTAGGGTTTTCGGTTTCCTTTTTTTTTTTTTTTTTTAAGCTGTTAACCCTTTGGACATTATTTTCAGGTACTTTGTAGGCTTTAATTATTTTCCCCCAACACCAAGTGACATGTTTAGTATGTACATACAATACTTGAGCGTGTTTCCAGATGATTCTGTTTCATCTATAAATGCCAATATGGCTTTTAATTACTTTAGCTGTATAGAATGTTTTATACTATAAATATGTTAAAAGAAAATGTAGAAGAATATTTTTATAATCCTAGGATAAGGTGAAAAGGTTTTCTTTAGCAAAGACATGAAAAGAAGAAACCACAAAGGAAAACAGTAAGAGATTTGACTATTAAAAATTTAAACACTTCTGAATGACCAAAAACACCATAATCAAAGTTAAAACTCAAGCAACAAACAAGAAGAAAATATATACAGTGGATTAATATCCAGATAAAGTGCCCTTATAGTCTAAGATAGAAAGCAGCCAGATGAAACAGGCATTTCACAGAGACAGTGCAGGTGGCCAGTAAGAGCAGACCTCACTAGTAGTTAGGGAAATGCAAGTAAAACAAAAAGATCTTATTTTTCATGGGCAAATATCAGAGAGATTGATAATATCAGGTGGTGGCCAGAGTGTAGGAGAACCAGTAAATATGTATTAGTAGGCTTGAAAATCTCTATTCTTTCTGGAAGGCAGCTGGGCAGTATCAGCAATTTTAACATGTATATCCTCTGATCCAGTATACTTCGAGGTATTCTAGTATTTCTTAAGGAAACATGGAAATGTGAACAAAGGAGTTACATATGACAATGTGATTGTGGCATTGTTGGCAGTTGCAGGAAATTAGAAGTAGCCTAAATACCCATCAATAGGAGAATAGTTAAAAATTAAAATATGTCCTCCTAGGGTAGTAGTATACGGCAGTTAAAAGGACAACGTAGATTTACACATACTGACAGGGAAGGATCCCAAGACCAAAATAAGACATTTTGGCCTTATAGTTGCTCTTTGCGCAAATAGGTTATATAGTGTGTGCACACACCGTGACCAATACCAAGTAGAAGAGGAATCCTGAAATATTTGAAGGTAATTGTTCACAATTTTTTCGTGAATTAGCTGAGAAATAAATATAATCATCAGAATCTTAAACTTGCAACATCATCAAAGTAGCAAAGCCATTGACTAAAAAGGTACTCACAAAATAATTTATTATTGACAAAATTGAGAGATCTCTAAAATTTGACATAGGAAAATTGAATCACATGAAATAACAAGAAAACTAACAATAGACTCTTATATAGTTTGTTTTGGATTCTTAAAAAATGATCAGTAATATATATTATTGTAAATATATATATGTATACAGAAAATAAATTAATCCTGTGTGGACTGATTTGATTGACATAAACATTGAAAAGCTGAAAACTGCTTAACTGAACTTTGTAGAAAACTGGTCAAGGAATTGCATTGGCATTTGTTACAACAGTACATTCTTGGCAGAAATTCCCTAGTATTAGTATACTTTTGATTTAACAGTTTCTTTTTATAAATAGTCAAGGTATTTTACTACTCAAATTGTTGACATCTGGAGAGCAGTCAAGCAAAGAGTGTAGAATTGAAACTGTCAAAGGACTTCTCTCCGTTTCCTTGGCTTTGAGTTTTTAACAGCCCCTTAGTAACTTGTACCTGCCTCCTCGCTGGTACACTCAGCTCCAAGTTCCAGAGGGAGGAAGTAGTTACAGCACTGGAATGACTCTCTACAGCTTTCCCCTTGACTGATCTCATCGCTCCTTTCTCTTTCTCAGTTTGAAATTGTTCCCGAAGACGACCCCCAGGATGCCGTTGTCGGCTCTTCTGCAGACGCCTGCCACGCAGACCTGCTCAGGACCATAAGTGCTGCTCTGTAAGTTGACCCGTGGCTTGGAGACAGGCTGAACCTTCCCTCTTGGTTTTCATGAGCCCTTCTCTTGTTCTTGGTACAGTGAGACCTTCTCTCTTAATGAGGGGAGAATCCTTGTTTTATAGAAAGCTATCCTGTGTCCTTCGAAAGTCTTAGCAGCTGCAGTCTCGGGAGGGTCCATGTCAGGAAAGCTTATTCTGTGTGTTCACACTGACCTCCACTCCCAAACCTGTTCTCATCTCCCTCTCAGGTCTCAAACTCAAATTCTCCCTCTCCTATTCAGGGGGAGGCCAGTGCCCAACCTGTTTCCATCTGGAGCTGACTTTTTTGGGTTTTCTCATCCAACTATCCACAACCTGATCCAGAGTTGTCCGGGAGCTCGAAAATGCGTCAAGTAAGTGAGGTCAAACCCATTCCCTTGAAAGAAGCTCCCTGATCAGTCGGCAGGGACCTAAACTGGCAGCTGCTGCTCTGCACATTTGTGTGTTTGTTGAGCTGCTTCAGTGCACAGGGCACAGTTATCGGTCATCTTAGCCCT